TAAGGAACAGAAAATATCCATGTATTCACTATTCATTAGATGAAAGTGGATCATCGTAACAGTCTTCGTCCTCACTGCCTTCGTGTTGAGTGGGCTGAGGAGGACAGGGAAGAGGAGGAAAAGGCACTGGCCTTGCTAGCTTGGGCTGGCAGAGGCAGAAGAGGTACGGGGAGCAGGAGAGGCCGGCACACTCAGTGCAACGCTACAGAAGCCCCAGCATCATTTCCACTTGAAATTTCCACTTGCTTTTTCACTTTTCTAAAAACGTTTCTATATGGCACCAATCCTTGTTCTATCATTTGCTCTGGTTTTTGGACCCACAGCATAGGAGGGAGCAAGTTGTACAAGTTAAAAAGAGTCTTCAATAACTGGAACTCTTCTGCCAGACTGTCTATGTCGATTTATTTTCTGCACGGCTTCTTCGGCATCCTCTTCCTCATCATCTGGCACTGGTTTGGAACTGGCACTCATCGCCATCAAGTTATCTTCTATTAATTCCTCCCATGTTGTGTCTGTTAGCGCTCGAATTTCTCTAAGATCCGTATCTGAAACCTTCTGTCTATCTCCACAATCCCTTTCACGGTTTCCTTGATTGGCTCTGTTGTGACCTCTGTCGAGTCACATACCCTATCTGGACACAGTTTTCTCGCACAGGAATTTATTGTTCAGGGTTTCACAGCTTTTTCTACAATATTGATAACATCTTCAATGGGGCAATCCGTCTAGACTTCAACTATCGAGGTTCTCTTCCACCAGGTTGCCGATCCTTTTCATACAATACCACGTATAATGAGCCTTAAGGGTCCTGTGACCCTTGATCTAGAGGCTGAATTAGAGACATCATGTTTGGGGGCAAGCAGACCACTTTGATGCTTTCAATGTTGAACTTATATAGTTGCGGGTGGGCAGCGGCATTGTTTAATATCTATCTATCTATCTGTCTATTTATTTATTTATTTATATTGGCATTGTTTAATATCAAAAGAACTTTAAAAGGAAATCCTTACCTGGCAAGGTACTTCTTGACTTCAGGGACAAAGGATGAAACCAATCTAGAAAAGAAGTTATTGTTGTCCGGGACTTCTTGTTGTGCAACCAAATGACTGTCAGCTGGTGTTTATCTCTTCCCTTCAAGGCTGGAAGGGTTAGCAGCTTTACAGATAAGGGCTGTCCACTTTGTACACCTGACTGCCTTCGCACAGAACGGGAGATCTAGCCTATCCCCTCCTGCCTTAAGTCCTAGTGCTGTTTCTCTTCCTTACCAATATATGTCCTTTGTGGTTTTTTTTTTTACCTCCGAGTAGGGCACTTAAAAACCCGCTTGGGCAGATATCCTTTCTCCTCCATTACTTTCTCAATGACATCTGGGAACGTGTCTGCTGCCTCTTGATTGGCAGAAAGTACTTCTGTTGTCTTGACATTTTAAACCCCTTTCTAAAATTCTCAAATTGTCCTCTGCAGGTGTTAAATTCTCCAGCTTTAGATCCTTTACCTTCCTTTTGCTTGGTCATATGACTTTGCTTTTTCTTGAACCATATTACAGTCCATAGGTATGCCTTACTTTTTGTGGGGGTATGTGTTTTGTTTTTGTTTTGAGACAGGGTATCACTCTGTTGCCCAGGCTGCAATGTGCTGGTATGACCATAGCTCACTACAACATCCAAACTTTTGAGCTCAAGCGATCCTCCTGCCTCAGCCTCCTGAGTAGCTGGGACTATAGGCTGGGACTATAGTATGTGGGACTATACTACCACACTTGGCTAATTTTTTATAGAAACAGGATCGTTCTGTCCAGGCTGGTTGGAGCGCCTAGCCTCAAATGATCTCCTACCTTGGCCTCCTAAAGTGCTGAGATTACAGGACTGAGCCAGCACCTGACCCTGTCATCATTTTTAACTCCCACTTTTACTATTAAGTGTTACCTACAACAATATCTTATTTATTTATTTATTTTTTGAGAGAGTCTCACCCTGTTGCCCTCAGTAAAGTGCTGCAGCGTCACAGTTCACAGTAACCTCCAACTCTTGGGCTTAGGCAATACTCTTGCCTCAGCCTCTGGAGAGCTGGGACTACAGGTGCCTGCCACAAGACGTGGCTATTTTTTGTCATCATTTGGCCGGGGCTGGGTTCGAACCCGCCACCCTTAGTATGTGGGGCTGGCACCCTACTCACTGAGCCACAGGCGCTGCCCAACAATATCTTATTTGTGACTGTGAAACTGTCCCATCTTACTAAGTTTGAAACATCAAATAATATATGACTGATAAAATTTAAGGACACATACCATTAAATGTTGGTCCATAAATCGACTCTCCATTATCTCCTCTTCCAGCTACTATATCTGAGAAACAGCAATAAACAAACATTAGAATTCTCAGATTAAGAAGGAGGTAAAGTATAGTAATGACACAGGAAAAGCAGGACGTTTTCATTTAGGATTTCACTTATACCAATGAGTAGAGTAAGTTACCTAATTGTTTGATAGCTACGCCATGAAAATGAGACTATAACAACTTCTCTTTTATTTTGTAAGTACTCTTTCGTTAATGACCCCATGTTTTTCCCCACAGTACTCTCTTGGGTCGGTTCAATTCTAATGCAAAACCTTTGAAATGATGAAGTATTAAATTGTAATTGTGGTCACCATTTTTAAAAAGTGTGTTCCCATAAATTCTGCTTACTTCATCATTCCACAGTCCAGCTTGCTTTTCAGAAAAATGGAAAAATGAAACTGAGAGGATGAAATGGGAATCATAAGTTGTTTTTAGAATATGAATAAAAACAGCTGCTCTAAAAAGACCTCATGTCCCAACGTTCATTCTCGTTGCTACCGTGTAGTGATAATTCATTTATTTACCCAATATTTTGGAAATAAAGTTCCCTATAATAGTATAAGGAGGGTGTTTATATGACATGCCTGTTTGGCTTAGGCAATGTCCCCAAATATAAAGACTTCTCGAACAAAGTATTTATTTGTTTCTGAAGACAGAATCGCACTCTGTCTCCCCAGCTAGAGTACAGTGGCATCCTCACAACTCACAGCAACCTCAAGCTCCTGGGCTCAAGTGATCCTCCTGCCTTGGCCTCCCCAGTAGCTAGAACTACAGTTGTGGACTACCATGCCTGGCTTATTTTTCTACTTTTTATGAAGACTGGGTTTTACTCCAGGCCTCATGCAATCCTCACCCCTCAGCCTCCCAAAGTCCTAGAATTGTAGGTGTGAGTCACTGTGCCTAGCCTAGTTTTTGTCCATCCACAGCTAAAAGAGAAGCAAAGCTAACTCCGGTGAGACAGAGATGTCTGAGGCCTGTCTCTACCCCCAGCAGGAGAAGCCCTCTCCTTCTCTTAGCTCTGTAGCCTGCCCCCCCCCGTAATATGATGTTCAATAAGTATTTGTGAAGGACTGTGTTGTTTTAACTCAGCATGAGCAATTTACCTGTAATGTAAGCCTTTGCACTATTTTTAAAAGGAGTCTGATGCAACAGCTGCAGTGAGCTATGATTGAACCACTGCACTCCAGCCTGGGTGATAAGAGTAAAACCCCACATCCCATCTTTAAAAAATAAAGTGAGCTAAGAAATATATAAACATATATATGGTACATCCAGTGGTGCAAAGTACTACATACTATAAGAGAAAATAAAGCAGGGTAAAGGATAGGAAGGCAGGAGGGAAGGGGTGCAGAGAGATGAGCGGGGAGGCCAATGGCAGTTTTTAACAGGGGGTTTAGGTAAGCTCCTGCTACGGTGAACTCTGGGAAAAAATCAAAAACAGAGAAGGAGGGGAAGCAAGGTATGCAGACTAGCTGGGCAGAGTGCACCCCAGGCCAAACCAACAGCCAAAGACCTCAAGGCCCACACATGCTTGACTGCTTAGGGAGCAGGTGGAGGCTGGAATGTGGAGCAGAGTGAGGAAGTAGGTGTGGGAAGATGGGATGTGGGGAGTGGAGAGCCTGTGGCATCCCCAAAGGGCGGGCAAAATGCCTGGAAGCATCCTAAGGCATGGCATGAAACCAAATTTAGCTCCTGTGCTCCAAAATTCTACACAGCTCTCTGGGAATCTGACATCTGTAGGGAGAACATTCCCGGAGCTTGGCACTTTCAATATGCCATGTCTCTGAATCCTCACTACATCCTGTGATATTCTTATCATCATTCCCATTTTATAATTAAGAAACTGATTCAGAGATACGAAGTGGCTTCTCCAACTTCTGTGTATCAGAGTTTGGATCTGAATCTAGCAATCCAACCTTTTCCCAAATTGTCCTTAACATCATTGTCTTACTGAAAACATGACCTGTGTTTACCTCAAATAAATAAATAAACAAATATATGAACCCCTTTTTCCAAATCTTGCTTTAGTGGGGAGGGGTGGTAAACCAAACCAAAACAGAACAGAACAGCACAGACAGCCTAGCACACGAGCCTCAGCACTGAATACAGTGCCAGCAGCTGCCATATTGGCCCCATATTGGAGGAATATTTTGTATTTTCTTTTTTGAGACAGAGTCTCACTGTCATCTTTCACAGAGAGCTGTGTCATCACAGCTCACAGCAACCTCAAAGACTTGGGCATAAGTGATTATCTTGCCTCAGCCTCCCAAGTAGCTGGGACTACAGGTGCCCGCTATAATGCCTGGCTGCATTTTTTTTTCTCTGTAGTTATCATTGTTGTTTAGCAGCCTGGGGCCAGGTTCAAACCCACCAGCCCTGGTGTATATGGCTGGCGCCCTAATCACTGAGCTACAGGCGCCGAGCCAGGAGAATTTTTTTTTTTTTTTTTTCAGTTTCTGGCTGGGGCCAGAACCCGCCACCTCCAGTATATGGGGCCAGTGCCCTACTCCTTTGAGTGACAGGCACCGCCCCAGGAGGAATATTTTATACTATTAAAAATTGAAAACCAGGCTGAGCGCAGTAGCTCACACATATAATCCCAGCACTTGGAAGCCTGAGGCAGGTGAATTCCCTGAGCTTATGAGTTTGAGACCAGCCCGAGCCAGAGCAAGAGCCCATCTCTAAAAAATAGCTGGACGTTGTGGCGGGCACCAGTAGTCCCAGCTACTTGGGAGGCGGAGGCAAGAGAATCGCTTAAGCCCAAGAGTTTGAGGTTGCTGTGAGCTATGACGCCACAACACTCTACTGAGGGAGACAAAGTGAGACTCTCTCAAAAAAAACTGAAAGAAACAAAAAAACAAAAATTGAAAACCAGTATGATAAAAACCTAGGCAGACCCTAAGAGTTTTGTTCATTTCTGTTTATTGACATGAGAAGATAAACACCACGTAAGTGGCAAAACACTTAATACAGAAAAACACTTAAAAGTGAGGTTAGGCGGCTCGGAGCCTATAGCTCAACTGGCTAAGGCGCCAGCCACGTACACCTAAGGTGGCGGGTT